AGAGAGAGAGAGAGAGAGAGAGAGAGAGAGAGAGAGAGAGAGAAACGGACGGCCATGGCAGGCAAGAGGGCACGCCACGATGAAGGTGGAGGCGGGAAACGGACGGCCATGGCCACGCACCATCCGCAGGGAGCACCAGACCCGCGGTGACTGTACGGAAAGCGAAAGCAGCAAACGAAAAAAAAAAAAAAAACAGACCGAACTGCATTACTTGCCAATTTGGCCTGAACACAGGTCCATCTGTTGTCCGTTCAGATGGACCTGCCCACAGGGCAAATTCAGGCTCGGATTCAATAGCTGGCCGAGGTACTGGTGGTTTAAAATGTTTGTTTGCCTGGTCCGAAAAATTTTGTGCCTCGGGCCTACTCGACCACAATGGCTGGCAGCACGACCCCCCCCCAAAAAAAAGGGTGCTGGCGGCAGTTTGGAAAGCTTGACGCGCACCATCCGGAACTCCACCCCTAACAGCTATAATCTCAAAAACAGCCACAGAGTAATGCTTCTCAAGGCATACTCGCACTCACACTAGGACTTTCTGGACTAAGTTCGGGACACGAGTGCAGTCAGATTCATCCAGGTTTGGCCGTAATTGCAACAAGTACCAACGTGACTATGTCCTCAGTCCGCTGTATTTAACTGCCAGGAAAAACATTAAAAACGAGGACACTCAGGTGAGGGTTGTTTTCTTTTGGGAAAAGTTATAGACCGGGCGACAAAATGTTCGTACTCGTTTGCCCCCTCAAAAGTGTCTTGAGGACCCTTGAGATTTGCGGTGCGGGGGAGGATCCGTGACATTTGCCACTGGCATTGGAGTCCCTGCTCGACCTTTCGCGATGGTCCGGGAGGCAAACCCGTACAAACATTTTAAACCATTTCTCGGTTTATGCATGTCATCCTTGCGCAGGGGCCATGCTAATCTTCCCCTTCTCTGTATCGTTCCAATTTCAACGGATGAGTGCATAATGTTGCTGTCGTTTTCTTTGAAACGGGTAACGGTGGAGAAGCATCAAATCCTCGGTGAGCAGCGACAGCTCCGTTGAAACTGAGTCGGCAACTCGCCAAATCAGAGTCGGCAACTCAGTGACAGAGTTGGCAAGTCAGTGACAGAGTCGCCAGGAGGGACTGCATAACATGTACAACACGAGTTTACCATTTCCGATTTGTGATTTCAATTGGGGGAGTCAGCTGCATTCCCAAACTGGTTGTGCCCTCATGCTGAAACCAGGTCAGACAGAGAAGACTGTTTGAGACACAGAGTTGACCACTTGCATGGAGAGAGTCCTTATTTTTCTGAAAATTTTGCTCTCTTGCATATGTGTTTCTAGTGTGTCTCTCATCTGAACTTCCAGGTCGAGACACAGAAACTAGCCTCACTGAGCCTTGTATAGGATGGACTGCTATGGCCAATGATCCCTACCTCCACTTCTACTGTTTCTGGTTAGCCTTGCAGATGTCGTCAGAAGCTTTACAAAGCTTAAAAAACACCAACACGTCCGAGCCTTCTTTTCGCGAAGCGGTTTTTTGCTGCACGCCGATTCCACCTGAACTGTATCGGCGTGTAGTTTGCCTGCTGCAGCCGGGCTCCGGCAGGCCCAGCACCAGAACCCTGAAGGAGACCATTTTGGGCGTGTTAACCCCTACCCCAGAACCCTGAAGGAGGCCATTTTGGGGGTGTTAACCCCTACCCCAGAACCCTGACGGAGGCCATTTTGGGCGTATTAACCCCTATACCAGAACCCTGAAGGAGGCCATTTTGGGCGTGTTAACCCCTACCCCAGAACACTGAAGGAGGCCATTTTGGGCGTGTTAACCGCTACATCAGAACCCTGAAGGACTGCCATATCTCCATGCAAGTGGGCGTGATGGGTGACAGCTCTCCTGCTATGATAGCCTCAATACCCCGCCGGTTACAGAGGCCGTTGCCTTTTGCTCACCCCTCCTGTTGCCGGGATAATAGCTCTAAAAAATGGGAGACCAGCATTCGGTGCCGAAACTCCGAAATGAGAGACCGGCCTTCCGTGCAGCGGGAGGAGTGTGGAAGTTGCAGTTCAGAGTGATTGCGCAGCTAAGTTCCACGCGCAGAACACCCGGGCAGTATAGCTGCATCTGGGGCACAGCTTTGAGTCCAGATGCAGGAGTTCCATCCTGACGGATCTGACATGAACACCATCAGTGGTCGAATTCAGAACCTTTCGTCTAATGGGGAAGTAAGGCGGCAGTTGTTTTCCAGCCTCGTTTCCCCCCCGATGCCTGGTTTCGCCCCCTCGTGGAATACTGTACCATTGTAGGGGTTGAGACTGGGGGTGGCAGCAATATGTGTTGCTTTTGTGCCATCTTCTTTCTTATTTTTCATAGCAAATGTTTTTGTTATTAATGTTTCTCCCTTGTTTAGCAGCATCATCGCTGGCATGTAATCCATGACCATGAAGTTTCCCTATTTTTTGTTGTTGAAGGGGATGGGAGCAAAATATCCTGAAAGTAACCAGCAGGCGTCTTCTCCGAGGCTGGGCCAACAGCTGGTGGTTTCAGGGATTAGAGGCTAGAAGAGTCAGGTACAGATACGAAGGCCTCCAAGTATGTGGGGGGAAGACAGCGGACGAGGAAATACCATGCCCTATGCGATTTGATGCATTTGGGGCACCTTCTAGTCTAGATGCAGCAATAATTATCGGGCCTTCTAGTTCAGGGCCATCATGGCTAGGTCGGAAATACGTTTTGCAGGCTTGTCCTTGTTTGGCTGCATTTGCAGCAACATCTCCCTTGGCATGTCCGGATTTGATATCTACCCTTCAACAAGCACCCATGTGCAGTATCGGGGAATTTGAAGCTTCTTCGTAGTCACATCACCGTTCATCTTAAATGCATCTGACTGCATTTACGGCCAAATCTGGGCTCATCCGATGGTAATTTTGTCCGTACCTAAGAAAGAAAAGTTCTAGTGTGAGTTCTAGTGTGAGTTCTAGTGTGAGTACGCCCTTTCTGTATAGACCGTCCAGAATGCCAGATCTGCCTGTTTGAAGAAAAGTTCTAGTGTGAGTACGCACTTTCTGTATAGACGCCCTTTCTTAGACCACTTACGCACAGCCTGTAAACATGTTGGAAATATGTTTGAAGCCCAATGATTGGGCAGCAATGAGAGTGTGAAGTGTTTCTTTCT